GCATCCAAAGATGTCACCACCTCCTCCAGCCAGGATGCTGCTCACGACATCACCACCCTGGGAGAATCCACTGAGCACCAGCTTTGAGTCAGGGCACTTCTCGTTGTAGGCGATAACCTGGGCCTTGCCGTTGACCATGCCCTCGTTGGTAGCGACACAATAGTCAGAGCCGCCGGGGTTGTTGAACAGGATATCCTCGTAGTCGCAGCTGGGGAGACCGTCGCAGATGGCGTTTACAAGCTTTCCTTGACGTCCCGGGTAGGGCTCGTTGTTTCCCTTGGCCAAGAAGATGTGAACATCCTTGCAGCCGTCGGCGCGGGTCTCGAAGTTGAAGGTTCGTGCTGCGGCGGAGCCTGCAAAGAGGATGGGCAATGTGAGTGACCGCATTTTGACAATAAGTATTAGGTTGATAATAATAGCGAATGACTAGTAGTTAAGTTTGTTGTATTAAGAGAAACGAGTGGCTGGCTGAAGCAGAGAAGATGAGCCACGAGAGAGCAGCGAGGACAAGATGTAAAATACCGGTAACGCGGTCAGTGAGAAGTGGGCTGACTCCATAAATACAGCAGATTCTTCGTATTGACTCCATCCCATCTGATTCCCTCTCGTGTCACGGACAATACTACCGACGGTATAGCCTGGCCTATGAAAAGGGAACAAACAGTCTCTTGGCCGTCAAAAGTACCCGCCCACTTCACGGAACCAGAAATTAGGGGCCGAGACTCCGAGAATCTTGTTTGTAAGTGGTGGGGGTACGACGTGGCAAGAGCCCCATCAAGGCCTGTTCTTAATCATGATACGAACGGCTACATCCCGGTCATATGCTGAATATGCTCATAAACATTTTGCGTGAATCAGAATTGGGCTCGTAGTGGGGCTTTCTCTCTTCTTCTTGACTCAAATCAGCGTCAAAGGTCCGGGCATTGCTTGATTAGGCCGCCCAGACGCATGTCCAAAAAAAGCATTTGGATGAATTTATGATGGTCATGGCCCAGGTTTTGCGATGGCTTTTGAAGACTGATGGCTATCATTTCAGGTGGCGTTGACCTTTTCTATAAGCGTTCGACCTCGAATGAACTTCCAGGATGCTATCAAGGGCCTTCATCAAGCGCTGTTCTAGAATAGAACGGCAGGCGTTCTACCAACCAGCCGATGAAAAGCACCAGAATCGGGTGTGCCGTGATCCAGATCTCGGTATCTCCCACGGACAGCGAGGGAGACCCGCCTTATCAGGCCGTTTAATTTAATTATACGCGCACAATGACATCGTTGGCCGTGCGTGTGGGTCGGAGCAGGCTGTGACTGCTCGCCCGGACCTATCGTTGAGGTCATTTTTCGCTCTCCTCGCTTCCCGCGGGCCCGATTTTCACTTTTCATGCACGTATGTCCAGGCTGGTTTTGGTCAGCCGGAATTCCCACCCGCGGAGGCTAGTCAGGTACGGAGTTGAATCGTTTGCAGCAACTTTATCGAGGCAAGCCACACCGAGATAATCTAGCCAGGACGGTTCCCCTAATGTAGCGTAGCACGCAGAATAAGCTTCCTAGAAAGCCGTTAATATCGGCACTTAGTTTGTACCCCTGGAGACCAAACCCAAACTCCCCGAGGACCGAACCTACCTACAGTCAATCATGCCTGAGCGGGAAAGCCGGAAAACTAAATAAAAAAAAAGTTGCTCAACACGAGTCAGCTAACAATGAGTAGCTGGAGAATGACTATTTGAGATGGAGTGCATATGCCAGTTTCCGCATTCCAGGAGTCAGGTTGGCACAAGGCCATATCTTCCTCAGTAAAGGCGATTTCCAACAATGAACAGGGTGCAAGCACGCATGACACAAGTTGTGCGAGAAAAAGCGATATCCTTGAGGTCTCAAAGGCAAAATTCATCCTACAATTACCGCTATTAATATTCCTGTATATGCCAGGAATTAAAGAGCAAGGCCATCGAAACTCTGCCGGGGTGCCTACAGGGTAGCTGAACTTTGCTTTGTGCATGGAGTATTCAAATGAAAACTAGAAGAACAAATATGACGTATGGAATTACTAAGCATGATCAAGGATATTTAGGAAAGAAAGGAACACAAGTCTATCTTCCACTCCGAGGCTTCCGTGCTGGGGCATCCATACTGAGGTTCATATTGAGGCTGACTGTGGTGTGGTGTGTGAAAGCTCCTAAAAGCGTAACAAGTCTCTTATTGGTTGACTCGACGGATGCAGCTCCATCAAATCATACTTTGGCTAAGCCAAATAGGGTAGTGAGTCTCTCATTGGACTGATCTGAGGAGCTCCAGGTCATAGTGATTCAGTTAACAAATGGGGTAATAGGTCTCTTACTGGACGTTGCCTACCTGTGATGCAAATATGAAGCTTACTTTGTGTGCATCTGAGCAAATTGGAAAAGTATAAGAACCTACCGATTGACACTCTATGATGGAAGAAACTTATCAACTCTTCTTCATTCTCTTTGCTCATCTCGATATACACGCACGACAGAATAAACTTGTCCCATTATCCATTCTATAAAACTTTAACATGGCCACCACAACCCATCCGGAGTTCAATGCCAATACGGAGGGCATTGAGGTAACCAAAGCCTTTGCTGACGGCGTCCGTGGCAAGACAATCATTGTTACCGGTGTGAACCGCAATGGAATTGGCTTTACTACTGCTCAGGCTCTGGTAAGTTTCGTAGATGGCGTCTCAACTGTTTTGTTTTGCAACCGACTAAACTATCTGCACTAGGCCTCCCAGACTCCTGCCCACCTCATCCTCGCCGGGCGTACTCCAGCTAAGGTCCAAGCCTGCATTGATGCCCTCAAATCCGAGTACCCTGATGTGGACTACCGGCTGCTGGAGATTGACCTCTCCAGCCAAAAGTCTGTCCGAACCGCCGCCGCCAATCTCCTCTCCTGGTCCGATATCCCGGAGGTTAACATCATCATCAACAGCGCTGGCGTCGGCGGACTCCAACAGCGCACGCTGTCCGAGGATGGCATTGAACTGCATTTTGCCACCAACCATATTGGACACTGGCTTTTTACGTGCCTCATCATGCCTAAGCTGATCAAGGCCGCGCAGTCTAGTCCCAAAGGCGCCACGCGCATCGTCAATGTCAGCTCAGGCTCACCTACAAGTTCGTGTGACCTGGAATATCTTTCTAAGAAGACTAAGCTGTGAGATGGGGCTAATAATGTAATATAGTTTCTTCCATGCGCTGGAGTGACGTCAATTTCGAGACGAAGAACAAGGACTTGCCCGAGGCAGAGCAGCCGCGATACGAATGGATGAAAGCATGGGGCTACACACAAGATCTCACGGAGGAGGCTTACGTGCCCATCGATGGGTACAATCGAAGCAAGGTGGCAAATGTGCTGTTCGGGATTGGTGCCAACAAGAGGCTTTTTGAGACCTATGGAATTCTGGCCACGGCTGTTCATCCAGGTGTCATTCACACGGAGCTGGTTAGGTATTTTGATGACCAGACGTTGGCGGCTATCAAAGCCCTATCCGATAGCAACATCTACATGTATAGGAGCTTGGAAGCTGGGGCTTCGACTAGCCTGGTGGCGGCCTTGGACCCGAAACTGAGGGTGGAAACAAAGGACGGAAACGAGAACCTTGGAGCCTTCCTGGTAGATTGCCAGGTCAGCACCACTGCCACTGCCCTGGCGACATCTAGCGACGAGGCCGAGAAGCTGTGGAAGCTATCTGAGAAGTTGGTGAAGCAGGAGTTCTCCTGGTAACTAGTGACTGGTATGATGAGCGTTCTAGGTATTTCGGATATGATTAAAGTAATAGAACGTGAGAAGTTTGATTCTTATACACTAAGCCCCAGAAATCATTTTATCATTCAGGTCTCTACAGATCCTCTAGCCGATCCCACAAAGCGCGGCCTGGTTGATCATGTAAAACGCCGATCCACGGAAATGACTCGATGCGGCATTGCGCTTCTTCCCAGTCATTGAGGCGTAGCCGTTGCTTTATGACCTGTAGTTTAGGAATAATCCAATCTCCTTCCACTGTCGAGGTCCAAATTCCGCTAACCAGTACAAACCAAAGAATTAATTCACCACTTGATTTGCTCAGGTCGCGACTAAGGAGCTCCCCGACAGCATCAGATACGGGACTGCACTCTAGAATGCGTTGCTTCTCAATTGTAATAAACATAGTCAGCATGAAGATCGTCAGTCCTAGGTGGTACATTGCGTCTGCATCGTTGGTGAGGGGAACGCCTTGGAGCGGATGCATGCGAAGAAGGCGATAGAAAACCGACATGAGGATCTCCTGAAAGTTGATAAGATCCACAACTAGCTTGGACTTGTTGGCGTTGATTAGAGCCGAAAGATCTAAAACATCCAACAGAACTTCTTTGAGTAAAGGGTTTGAAGTATTCATGTCGTGGATAGAGGGTAATGCAAGCAGTCGGTGGAAACGGCCTTTGGAAGCCATCTCTACACGAACTCTAAGCATTTCATCTCTAAAGAATATCGTCGGTCCCCCAAACTGGAGTGCAAAGACAACATCGACCCTTTAATAATTCATCTCAGGAGTCAGCACAGAACGTTATGAGAAGTAAAGTAACATGAGAGTGGATGGGCCATTGAACATACTTGCAGACCTTGAGCAAAAGCGGCGGTTTCCCCTCCAGCTGTTCTAGTCCCCCGCGAAGCTCGATCATTCTCCGAAGGCCATTGAGGTGGATCTTTGCCCTTGAGTCGAACTTTTTAAGCTGCTCTTGACTTATGAGGGATAGGACTAGTGTAATGGTAGAGTCGGAGAGAGCACCAGGACTCTCCAGCTTGTTTTTGACATGGCTTACGGTCCGCGACAGAGAGTAAAGGGCCTTGGATGAACTGTCCCCATGACCTAGATATATTTCGTTGCAAGTTTGCATCATAGCCAAATTGCATTCATAGGCTGCTTATCTTAGTTCAAGCATGGTACGCAAGTTGGGCGATCTCGAGACTTACTAGCTTGATCTTCAAAGAGGACTTTCAGCCATATGCATTTCGCCTCGTCCAGCGAGATCCCCAACTTTGGAGGATACATTCTATCCGCTGTCAAGATGAAGACTGGCAGGGTTTCACTTCTTAGTTTTGCAGTTTCTGAAACGGACTGGGTCGGAATGGTGCTTACATTCGTCGATGATTCGCCGCGCAGCTGGCGGAACATTTACAGGAATGTTGCAGGAGTGGTAAGCGTCCCCGAAATTCTCGTCAACATCGAGTGTGAGAGATTCGCCCTTGTTGAATTGGCGGGCAACTCTCGATCTGCTCCAGGTATCGAGGATCTTGGGACCGGCAGGCACAAGCTTGGACGGGCGATGAAATGTCTTTCCTGCATTCTTGCCCCTCATGACATGGCGTCGCATCTGCTTTTTGGCATTTCTATCGGCCTGGATGCCATCGATGAAGAGGAATTTATTGCTCATATTTGCGTCGGCTCTTCTCGTCTCGTATGAATGGTTGAAGATCGGTTGGTGTGTTGGAATGGGATTTCGATATGATCAATTTCAAGGGGGCGGAGATAATCCTAGGTAAGTCCGGAGTCCGGACCAACATCCGGATATTCGCCAATGTGCGCATATTGATGAGTATATGATACGATTTAGCTAATAAATAATTTTAAATAATGGGAAGGGGTCGCTTCTGATATGTAGTCTTATTTCGCGTTCGTGAGAGCGACATGAGACGTGAGTAGTTTCTAACAGAATTCTTTGAGTATAATTCTCCACATACGTTCAGCATTTCAATGTTCTTCCTAGCGTCATTTTTCTTAGATAACGTGACAATAATGTCAAATCATTTAATTTGTTTTAATAAAACCTGCTTCAAATTGACGTGTGTGGCTTGCTCTAATTATATGGGAGGCGATTACGCTGCACGACACCATCACGGACATGCTTGAGGCTTCCGCGGGCATGGTGTGCAACTTTTCGGCTTATGTGTTGCTCCATTAGGCACGAAAAGAAGACTTCCTTAGAGGCCAGACAAAAGAAATAAAAGGAGAAGGGCGCGTTCGAAGAATCGAGATCTTCTACACAATATCTATTAGATTCTTTATCCCTTACTATATTTTAAAATCTTAATAGTATTTCTATAATTACTATCTTTAATCCCTTTCTCTCTTTCTTAGACTACCTTATATATTCTTATAGATTACTATAGAAGATTATAATAATCTAGCCTTAAATAATAGAAATACCTACTACTTTAACCCTTTACTTTTTAATACTAAGATAATATTAATATTAAGCTTATCTTAAGGTATATACTTAAGAATATCTTAGCTAAAGTTAAATAGTATTATAACTTACTTTATAAATAGATTATCTTTAAGGGCCGCCTCTACCTAGATAAGTTTAATATAGTATATAATATATTAAAACTAGAGGTTATATTTTAGGTTATAATAGGTATAAATAAGGAGATAGCTATTATTAAGATATAGTATTCTATCTAGTTATATCTTATCCTCTCTAAGTACTTATAATAATACCTAGCTATAGGCTATATAATAAAGAGATAGACCTAGTAGATATAGCTACTAAATCTATACTATTATAAGTAACTTTATTACTATAAATAGGCCCTTAATTAATTAAAGGGGTATATTCTAGATAAGCTTAAAATAAAGCTATTTTATATAATATCTAATAATTATTATTATATATATAAGGACTTAGTTATATAGCTTAATTAAGCCTTAATAAGTAGAGATATTTATATCTAATATTATTATTATTATAAAGTATTTAGTAGTTATAGTTAGTAGTTATAGTTAATAGTAATAAGTATCCCCTTTTAGGGCTATAGCTAATTTATATATTAGCTAGCTTTTATTAGAGTTCTTAATAAGATATTAATACTTATATTTAGGCTAAATATATAAATATTTAAGTTTTTATAGTATTAAAGGTTTAGGTATAAGCTATAAATTATATTTTAAAAACTATATATAATAATTATATATATAGTTTAATCTTAGGACTAGATAACTCTTATTTATAGTAAGAAAAAAATAAATAAATAATAAATAGATTATTTATCTTAAATTAATTAAGTTAATTAACTTTAGGGATAATAATAGCTTTTATAAATTTAGTAAGCTTTAAATTACTTATATTAACTTTTAGCTTTATTATTTAAGATTATATAATTCTCTTACCTTTTAGAGAAAGTAATAAAATTTAGTTATTTTATATAATATATTAAAGGCTATAAATATATTAATATAAATACTTTAATTAATAAGCTAATAGTACTTATTAAGTTATTTACTAAAAAGCTTTAAGCTTAATGTATTAATATATTTAAATTAATATAAGATAAATAAAGAAAGTTAAGTAAAAGAAGATAGTTTTAATAATTATTTAATAAGCTATTTATTTTAATAATAAGTAAGTTATTAATATAAAGGTTTATAGACTTTTCTTTCTATATAATTATAGCCTTAAGCTAATAAAAGGCTCTTTTTTAAGGTTTTTATATTTATTATATTAAGTTATTAGGCTCTAGTAGCTTCTATTACTATTAAACTTTATTCTCTTTCTCTTAGGTATTAGATTCTTTGTAAAGGTTATCGCAGCTGACTTAGGATAGGTTTGAATATTCTATAATCATTGCTTCAACAAGCTGGAGGCACCGCCTCAGTCTCATTCGACGGCCATCATGAGCCCGTGGGAGCGTCATTACCTATGAAGGTTTCCCCCCCGTCTCCCTTTCCCTTCCTTTTTACGTAGAGCTCGCAAGGGGGGGTCAAAGAAGGCTAAAACGAGCTTGAATTTAGACCTGAAGCTTGGGAGGCAACGAGCTTAGCTAATTGTTTTGAGCCAACTCCTTTCGTCAATTGTGAGAACCAGCGTCTCTAAAACTAGGGAATGTGATAAGCCTTTTTAGCTCTCCCTAGTTCATCTGGATTAGAGACTTTGCTATATGGTGCTCTTGACAGGGCATTTATACTGGAGAGAAGAGTGGCTTATATCCCCTTATTAATGATTCCCTGGCTATACTTGCCTGCGCTAAGCCCAGACATTAATTATTTCACTTGAGTCTTACGAACATTGAATAGCCGTTGAAAGTAGACTACGACCTGTTAGGTGAAATGGGATAACTCGGTCACTCTAGGTGTTGATGTGCGAGAAGCGATATCACTTCAACCTGATGAAACTTACTCCTCGCCAAGTTCTTGGCGTTCCCGCTGTTTTCTTCTTTAATGTAGGAAGTAAGGTTGACACAACTGCCTTGCCACTTTCCTAAATTCAAAGTCCCATGGGGGCATACAGCTCGGAGGGGTTTGCAAAATCGACTGCTTGGCAGTGTGCCCCAAGCTATCTCCCTGATTGGTCCCAAGCGCCTTTCATGCACTGAGAAAGCGACAATGTGCATGCTCAGAAATTATAAGGCGCAACCCCACCTAATCTGCTGATTGACGGCAAATGCTTATCCGACTGGCAGTGCTCATTGCCAATGGTTTGCCAATGTGATGGGTCGGACACACTTCTTACTAGGCAAGTCGTTGGGAACGACTATGACAGTTGGCAGCCAAGACGGCAAGCTTCCCTGATGCAGGTGGCCAAGCAGTAGCCCCCAACAACTCGTTATCACTCGTGGTTATACTGTTCTAGAACAGGGAGGTCTTGAATCTGTCACTTAAGCGAATCAGGCAGGTGAGATTGCGAGTGTACGCAACCGCTACACTTTATCATGTTCCGACCCTAATCGGGAAAAGGGCATCAACTCTTCTACTACGATTAATCAAATCTTCCAATTTATCTTTAGTCGATAAATATCGGCGTCTTCCGCTGGGGTCAGCTCGCTCCCTTTAATGCGCTGCCTTTGCCAACCCACGCCTGCGCAGATCAGCCTTTCGCTCGCCTTAAACTGATCATTTCCCAGTTGTCAGCCATCATGAAGTTCATCTCTGCCATTCTGGTTTCCGCAGCGGCATTTGTTGCTGCAACTCCTGTAAGCCTTCCTTACTCAAAGGTCATGTACTACCAACTATCTAAACGCAACTATTCTTAGCCTGGGATTCCTTCTACTTCTTCCGCCAAGTCTCTCCTGGCTAGTCTGACAGTGGCCACTATCACTGACGATGGGACCTACGACCGTGATCTTTTCCCTCACTGGGAGTCTGTAGATGACGAGCCAGCTTGCTCAGCCCGGTTAGCAGCACTTGTTGTAAACAGCCTAGTCATCTAGTATTCTAACTCTATCTTTGCAGAGAATGGGTTCTCCGCCGCGATGGCAACAACGTGAAAGTTGGGAGTGATTGTTACCCTACTTCGGGCACCTGGACTTGCCCTTACTCCGGCAAGACTATTACCGCAGCTAGTAGTGTCGACATCGACCACATGGTCCCGTTGAAGAATGCTTGGATTGTGAGTTGCCCACACACCTTCCTGCTACTCTGCCTCGAAATGCGTAACGCCTTAACGGCTAACAAATCTTTTTCTGCTAGTCTGGCGCCAAGTCCTGGACAACCGCCCGCCGTGAGGCCTTTGCCAATGACATCGACCACCCCCAACTGTGGGCCACCGATGCCAGCACCAACCGCTCGAAGGGTGACAAGAGCCCTGATTCATGGAAGCCCCCCCTGACTGGCTTTTACTGCACCTATGCTAAGGCATGGGTTTCGGTTAAGACCACGTGGAGTTTGAAGATTACCAGCGCCGAGAAGACTGCTCTGACTTCTATGCTCAATACATGCTAATTAGCAGATGGCGCCTTTCTACCGGGACGGAGCAGGTGGCCACGAAGTAGATCTAATATGATTTTAAACCTGTGAGAGGCTAAGAATTAAATCCACATTTTATCCCGGTGTTGGGAAGGACCCCAGCTCCCTCATATGTTGAGTAAATTTTAGCTATGTGATGGGAGGCGAGAGAAACATGGCAGAAATGGTTTCCCTCATTCTTTTGTCATGATCTTCTACCACCCTTGCTCCAACGACCGGTTGTGGAAATGGTGTTCTTGCATGTCACGATCATGTGGAAGAGTTCAATGATTTTCTCCAATTGCTCCCAAACCGTGCTCTGGGGCTTGTTTTCTCTTTGCTTGTCTTCTCGTTGCTTGTCTGGGGAACAGACTAGAAATACCAAACACGGGCTCATCGCCTTTCACAGCCAAGAGGTTGCTTATGACGAATTGCCTTCAGATGATTTGAGGACAGGAACAGATCTACTACGGTGCCAGGGTAAAGAAGCTCACGGGACAATCCGGGATGAGATGTGCGAGCGGGGTTAGCCACATGCAAGGGGACTTTTTTAAACGAGCCACGTAACAGCTCTCGCAGCTTTTATTACCAGCGGTCTACTCGAGCTATTGTTTATCTCATGATATAATTAAAAGACAAAATGTAAATTCGTACTGAAAGATCAAGTAACATTTGATTGACTATCATAACCTCCACGACCGCTCCCGCAATGCTGGTCGGTAATGCCTTGACAGGGATGCCTCGGAAAGCACACATGGCACCACTCGAATGACCCGATCAGATCAGATGACAGCATTCTGGGCCATTTTCCGGGGGGTTGATCGATTCGTGAATCTTTCCATCAAAAGCAATGAGCCCCCAGGACATTCTTGACGCGCTGAGATACCACCGTTGCTGACATAGGCGCGCCCTATTATCATACACCCAATTGAAGACTGGAATACCTCAACGGAAATTTACCAACATGACCACACTCTTGAAAGGTGCGGCGTTTATTTCCGGTGCTGCAAGCGGTAAGACACATAGCCTTGTGAATGTAATGCTTGGTTCATTTACTAATTATCGTCTTTCAAACACGGTTAGGAATTGGCCGGCACACTGCAATTGCCTTCGCTAGACATGGAGTCAAGCGGCTTGCCATGGCGGATATAGACAAGGGCCTACTTACAACGACTTACCAGGATGTAAAAAAGATGTTCCCTCATGTTGACGTGGTGCCTATTCAAATGGATGTCAGGGACCAGGAGCAAGTGCGCAGAGGAATCGCCGAAACTGTCAGTGCGTTTGGCAGACTGGATATCGCGGTCAACAATGCTGGTATAGGTGGCTCCGGGAAGCTCACGCATGAAGCGGAATACGAGGACATTGAGAGGGTGTTGGACGTGAATCTTCACGGTGTGTATCGGTGCCAGAAGGAAGAGCTGGCGGCTATGATAAAACAAGAGTAAGTTTCGAAAAAGCCCTTAAACTCCAAAGAGACACAAGCTGAAAAGAAGGGCAACCCCAGAGACCACGGGCCGAGAGAAGGCCGCGGGAGCATCATTAATGTAACATCTATTTACGGCTTCGTTGCGCCAAATCCCTGGATCGCGCAAACGGCCTACACAGCAGCCAAGCATGGTAAGTACCAGTTCATGAAGTATCTTTTCTATCTTATAGCTACTTACCTACGAATGCTATACATTAGGCGTCATTGGCCTGACGAAAGGGGACGCAAACGCGTATTCTCAATACAACATCCGCATTAATGCCATTGCGCCAGGCTACATTGGCACACCTCTCGATGCCTCATCAGTAGAGACAACCAATCCATATGCGCCCTTGATTCAAGACCTTGGTCGGACGCCTCTAAAGAGAATTGGCTTGCAAGAAGAATGCGCAGATGCCATTGTTCTGATGGCTTCGCCAATGAATAGTTACATGCAGGGCGCCGTGCAAGTGGTTGATGGAGGCTTTACATCAAATTAGCAGGCCTTACAAGTTATTTTCGTGACTTTAGTACGGTAGAAAAATAATCAATGGGTTCATTTTTGAAGAGGCATTGCAATGTACATGTTGATTACCAAGTTTCTAGGAAGACTGATCTCCCAGAATCTACCCACAACCGAGCGAAGAAGAAGAGTCGCAGAATAACGAAGCAAATACCACCCACGGCCTCATAGAAACATCAGCTCGTAGCAGAAATACCAAAATAAGCAGGAAGTTTCAAACCCCTCATCTTGGCAGCGGCGAAGGACCGGCGAAAGCGCTCCTTTTGCACAGCTCTGGGGGCAATGGTGATATTGGTAAGCACTAGCTGCCCAACTATAGCGACTTTTGTCTTTTAGTTATAACACCTGGCCGCCAAGGTAGGATATGCAAGTGGTTGAGGCAGACTTGGTTTATTAGTTTCAGGCCTGTGGCATGTTTAATCATATCGGGTCGACCTTTGGTATAAATCTCACCCTGAGATAAATATCTCTCTCGGTACAACAACCACTCTATGTTGAAGTTGCACTCCCTTATATTCTAGTCAAGCTTGCATCGGACTTTACTCCATTATGGACCATTCAAGCAACGAGGCCCACGCATATTACAGCGACGTCTCTGATGTCGGCCAGCCAGACAATAACCATTATTCCGCTAAAAGGTGTGGAATGCCATGGTGTGGCTATTGCGGATATGAATTTAAGACTGGCGACCGTCTTCGGGTTTGGCATAGTGAGTGAATTTGACCTTGGTATCTGTTTCTAATAATGGGTATATATACCGCATCTTGCTAACTCTAAAGTGTCAAGAACAGGACGATCTCTTCATCGTCACTAGGCTTTCTCTCGACATAAAATATAAGCCTTCCTGGGAGATTGAACAGAAAATATCCCCTGAAGCTGAGGGATCTTGCCAAAAGCTGGCATTCTGTGCCTGTGGCCTCTCTGCAATTTCGCAATGCAAGTATTGGTACGACGCTTCTCGGCCAGCATGCCATGAAGTATGCCATGACCTGAGAAAGGCAACCCAATACGACTACCCCACGCTATTTGATTTTTCTTTGGTCAGGTGGCCTTCGTTTAAGCCCGTTAGATCCGACAGTTCACGTAGATGTGCGTTCATGGAAGATGATCTTGTGTCAGTACTCGGTGGATTTATTCCTAATCTGCCCCGAGAAACACTCAATCGAATTGCTGAGTACACTTTGTACGAGCATGCCATCACCCATCTAGCGACATCATTGGAAAACCAGCTGCCGAAATTTAGCACCCTTGACTTAAGAAGGAATGTCTGGGCAGAATACATTGACTTCGAGGGTCAGAGATACACCCGAGCACTCCTCAATGAAACTGACGAAGCTTTTACCAAAGTACCTAGTGAGAGCAAGGAACTCATTTTCAATGCAAAGGCGGATCATCTTGGAGACACAATCTTTACTGAAATGGCCCCCCTTGGAGTCAGAAGAGTCATCTTTCCCACCGACTCTCGTATGCCAGCTTTGGAAGAAGAGCCTGATATATGGTGGAAAGTAATGCGGTTCCAAGATGAACCTGCCATTACAACAGCTACGGATGTATGTACTGCACAGATTTCTATTGAGATTTGACCTCGCTCTAACATTTACTTTCAGGGTGTTAAGCTACGCGAACTCATATTTCAATCCGAGCGGAGGGAAGAGAATTCAGCTTCGATTCGGGATGTTTTGTGGCCAACACCAACCAGTAACCGTCTCTACAAGCTTGTATCTGATCTTGTCCAAGAAAGCAGCTTATATTCGGATACCGCCCTCCGTCAAAGATCTCGGCGAATGGACTCAGTGTGGCTGAATGGCGCTGGTATCTATGGGCTCTCATTCGCAATTTATAATGCTATAGTTAGCCGCCCAATTATAACTATCCATGCCCACCAACCAGGTGAAATTTTCATGTTCTATCGAGAGGTAGAGAGAAAGGTAGAAGGTTATGTAACATGGCTCTATATCCCGTTGGGCTCAGAAGAGCTTATTACGGAGATTTGGGCAAAAAACGCCCATGAGGACCTTCCCGTATCGAAGTGTTATGATGAAGAAAGGGGGGGATGGGTTCCAGACCTAGCCAATCTGAAATCTTGCGAGTATTGGGAGCTTCTTGTGCGTGAACTCATACCTAACCTAAGAGAAAGAGAATAAAGTTCAACAGCAATGGAAGCTGCCAGAGCCCGACAACTCAACACAATGAATACGTGCGTGAACTCATAGACCTCTTATCATATCTTTAGTACTGAGTAGTTGCTAACATTGATCGCAGCTCGCAACGAGTAAAGGCCGTGTTCTTCAAATCGGATCAGCTCGAGATAGCCCGGACCAAACGTGGACGTCACTCCATAAATCTATGAATGGCCTGAAACGGATCTTTTTGAAAACACGGATGACACACGATACGGCTCTTGGAGTGTCGGTTTTTCCGATGAGGATTCTCATCATAAACCAGTAGCAACTTCTCAGCTGCCCAGTGTGCTCCAAAATCGTCCAAGAGCAGTACTGCCTCATATTTCACATGAGACATCAATGAATTGCTCTGGAGCATCGCTTGACAAGGTCATTGAAGTGACGCCTTGCCTAAGAAAGCCCAATAGATTCTCCACTGCTACAAAGACGTGTGTCTCAGGGCTTTTGCTACGATATCAGGATGGACACGTGGAGAGAGTGGGAGAAGCGCGCCTTGACTCTGTCAGAGCAAGTCAAAAGGTCCTTGACCCTACACAAGTCCTGCGATTTACAGTCCAGGAGGAAGTGGTCAAAGCTTGCACCGTTGGCGCAACTGAAGAAGATGATGGCTCGGACACTGAATGTATTGATATTCCGTTGCGTGGGATGCTTGAGTGGTGCTTCGATACCGAGCAGGCATGGATTAGCCACGACGGGTGCCAGATTTTCCCAATTCCAAAATAGAGGAGGGAAAAAATAGTGTTCAAGATGGTACAACGAGATATTCAACGAGCAGTAATATGTTTAATTTATACATCAAACCTCTCTTTCTCAATAAAATAGTATTTGGGAGTATATCACATGTAAATTCAATTTTAGTTTGTGTCTATTTAGTGTCGCGGTATATATCGAAGATGACTGTAATACTACAGCCATTTTTGTGAGGGAAAGACCTTGCATTTCCTTGTGTTTTAAGATTCAACAGAGGTCCCTTCGTTATTCGAAGTCCTTGTTCTCTGTTCGTAATGTACCTCTGAATTCATGCTCATATTGTCAACATGCATTGTCTATGATGTAATGACATGCAGTGCTGATGTAACAGAGTATATTATTGGCCAGGCCAGAATAACAAAGAGGCCAGAAATTCAAGATGAGCGATTTCCTGCCCCTCATACACACTGGGACCTCTTACCACAGCGGCTGCACATCCTTGTCGTCAGGCAACATCGAGTCCAGGAAGATATCGAAAGACTAGGATCCAAAAATGGCGCCAGATATCAAATTCAACTGCGCACTCGTCACAGGGGGCGCAGGTGGCATCGGCAAGGCGATCGCCGAGTACCTTATTTCCAAGGGCACGAGAGTCCTGCTTGCAGGACGTACTGAGTCCAATTTGAAAGAAACCGCCCAGCTTATTGGCGCTGCTGGGTATTATGTAGTCGACACAGGAAAGATTAATGCTCTCTCGCCGTTCATGGCCAAGATCACCACTGAGCACCCTGACCTGGACTGCTTAGTGAACAACGCGGCTGTTCAGCGCGTATTGGACATCTCCAATGATGCGGAGTATCTTGAAAAGGCCGACGAGGAAATCGACATAAACATCCGAGGGCCGATGCACCTGTCCATTGGACTGCTGCCCCATTTCCGGACCAAGCCAAGCGCGATGATAATCAATGTGTCAAGTGTCCTTGGATTTATTCCCTTTTCTGTGGTCAATCCGGTTTATAACGCGACTAAGGCATTCGTTCACTTCTGGACCATGAACCTACGTACTCAAATAGCCCGGGAGGGCTCGAACATTCGAGTGGTGGAGATCGTGCCACCAATGGTAGCAACAGACCTACATCGTGATAGAGAGAATCCAGACGACAATAAGAAAGAGTTCAGCCCTCATACTCTCACAGTCGAGGAATTCATGGCCACGATTGTCCCCAAGTTGGAGGCAGGAGAGACTCTCATCACAGCTGGAATTGGAGAGCAAGTTGTGGGTGGATGGAATGATGCCTTTGGTCAACGATATCTTCAGATGACAGGAGGGAAATAAGCTGTATGATAGATTCAGAATCGTCTCAACAAGAACTTCATTACTACCGCCAGTGAAGATATGTGGCAACCAACGGATTTGGAATGTACTCACTAATATGGATGGTGGCCATACTCATCACCGCCGGGTTGTTGTGTTTCAAACACACTGAGTGGCGTCACGTTAGTGCTGAAAATGCAACGACAGCGAGCGCTAACAGGGACTTCGAGTCTGGTAGTGGAGAGTCAGCACTCTAAAACAGAGTCTCAGGCTTTTCTTTTCAGCCCTAACAGGGCTTTCACTCAACCATCTCTACTTTGTCTACCAAGTCGGGCACTGCTGTAATCAAGGTCCCTGTTGCAGGCATGACGTAGGCCTCAGACTATATTGCAATTTCCAAGGGGGCGGTGAAATAAGCGGACGACATCACATGTGATTGCCGTTAAATTGCCCATGTCAGATCACCAGTTTCGGGCCATTATTTGCGAGTCGGGTTTAAGGCTTAGGCCAAGAGCCCCTTTGTATCGGATATCTCGGATGCCAGATTAGATAGAGAAAACAGGCCAAGCCGCCATACTTGCAGTTAGCATGAAGACACAGCCTGCGGGCCAAGCCCAGACCAGCCAAGGGGAAGGATCCATGCTACTACGTGGATCAAAACACCGAGAGCACGAATTCTTCTTCTTCATGATCAGTTCTAGGACCAGCAGGTTCAGTCGAAACCAACCATGCTACCTTCACCGCGCGCAGTGAACGGGAATCGTTCGCCTCGACCGCCAGAGAACACACCCGTGGATGCTAAAATCCCATTATTTTGCAAGCCTCCAGGGCTAAATATTACATCACTAAACATCCAGAAGCTGCACGCGAGCGATGCCTTGACGCTGCCCTCGCCTGCTCTTCAAAATGCGTTGCTCGAGACCTTCGTCAGCTTGGTCCATCCCATGCTACCAATCCTCGATCTCTCCAATTTTCTGAACGCCGTGACTCCTGGCGATGGCAGCGCAGGCCAAATCAGCCTGATGGTGTACCAGGCCGTGATGCTTGCCGCGTGCCCATTTGTTGACTCTCGAAAGCTGGAAGCTGAGGGATTTGAGGACAACCGAGCCGCGCTGAATGTGTATTTCCAACGAGCCAAAGTCCGTTTGCCCCGTTCGCCGGATAAAAAGTTGATCTTAATTAATGCGGTTGACAGGCGCTGTACGACCTAAATTACGAGTCTGATGCTCTGGCCATCGTCCAGACCACGCTCCTGATGACGTTCTCGTTTGAGGCGCGACACAACACGACAAACTCCTGGCACTGGAGTGGCATCGCCATCTCATATGCATACAATATAGGTTTGCATATCGACCCCGAGACCTTCGGCTTCGAGCCCAGTCTCCGCAAGCTCAGGCGGAGGCTTTGGTGGGCATGCTTCATGCAGGATCAGATGGTCGGCCTCGCGACTCGCCAGCCACCGCGAATCAGAAAGGACGACTTCAGCACCAAAATGCTCCAAGACAGAGACTTCGACGTCTTTACGGACCCTCAAGGGCACTTGGCAGCGTGGTTCCCCCGTCTTCTGACGGCGGGTCAGCAACAAGAACTAGCCCTTCTCTGCATCGAAAAGACGAAGCTCTGCGTCATCATCAGCAAGATTTTCCACGATCACTATACGGCGCTCTATAAAGATGAAGAATCTCGTAAATCATCCGACCTGCGCGCATTGCTGCTCTATCCGAAACCCGCAGGCACTTGGAAGCCAAATGCCACCGTCCTCGATGATGAGTTGATGGCATGGAACACCTCGCTTCCTCAGGTAGTTCAGCAATCGCCTGCGTTGAACCAGACCAATAAGGCGCCTGCATCCTTTTCGATTATAGATGTACATTGCTATGCACTGTGCTTGATATACCGCGCTGTGACTTTAACCTTGCATCGGCCAGAGGCTCAGGAAGCATCAGCCATCCAGGATCGATGGTATCCTCTGATGCGCACTCGCACCGCTGCAAAGGAGATCACCCGGATGCTGACAGAACTGCAAAGATGCGGCAGGGTCAGATCTCTCCCCGTGGTTTGCATTGTCGCCGCGATTCCAGCAGCCGTCATCCATATCTGTGACATGAAAGACACCATGCCTAACATCAACTCGTCAGCTGCGACACGGTACTGGAAGTGCGTGGGTGTATTAGAGGATCTACGAACCGTCTACAACGCCGCACCGTTTAGCATCGAGTTTTTGAATGCTGCTTACATCAAAGTGACGGGGGACACATTCCTCACATCGAAATATTTGATGTTGGAGGAAACCATATCTGACTCGCCAGCTGACTATCAACAGCACCTTCTGACACCTGTGCCGAGTAACCTTCTGGAGACGTGGTATGACGCGAATGCTGGATCTATGGGGTCGGAGGATGGAAACCTGGTGATATCGGTATTATCTGATGGCAACAACGGGGAGCTCTTTGGGCTTTCCCCGGCAGACAGCCATCTGCAATTTCCGCCATCAACGGGATGAGAGCATGCTGGATGGCTAAATACGCTTCAACTAATGATAATGACACAAATAGATAGAATAATGGGACTGTGGGCTTTCTTTGTTCAAGTCATCTCGCCAGTAGTTCTGAGGCACTTATCACTCTCAAAGAAGATCATTTGCGCAGTCACCAACCCAGGAGAAAATCCCAAAAGGAGTACCTCGTACTAGGTCTTCACTCCATATCCCGGACTGTGCCCCAACAAATATCATGATATGGAGAGTCGACCCGGAGTCAAGGGCCACCACTCTTAACTCCGGCGCCTCTCCTCGAGGATGAGCCAATACGCATGCGCGCGCGGGGGAATGAAACCCTATGCCTCCGTTATAGCCGAGCATTGTATCGATGACATTCCCATGCGTTCGGGTCACAGTGTGTTGAGTTTAATTTATCACTGTAAGTTTCCGCTAGAGACTAGCAAACTGAAGAGGTGGTGGGCTCACTTGCGGACTTCAGTCCAGCGGAGATGGTTCAGCCTCAGCACGCGGTGTTTGCTCTTGGCAAGCCGTGATGTGTGATCTGGGCATTGACGTGACAGTGTGGGATCACTGTGCTTGTAAATCAAGGGAAGGTTACGCTACCAGACCTTACAAATTGCTTTGTCTTGCATTGGCTTCTGTTGGAGCTCACGCACATGCGGATACTTATATGAAGAGGTGGGTATGATGCAATCCAAGCGGAAGTATAAAAGCATCGCGTTAGCCATATCTAGGTTTGCTTTCTGAATTGCTACACATCATCAGCTTTGGACCGAATCACAGGTCTACTCTTTTCCATATCCTACTTTGTTTCCATATCTGCCCAAACAACTCCAGTCTACACCATGTCTCGATGGGGTCCCGCACCAGAGCCTCCAACGGAGCTCGGCCGCTTCCGAATCCTTGCCCCAACTGCGGGTATCAGGGTCTCTCCCCTGTGCCTCGGTGCCATGTCCATTGGAAGCGCATGGGCTGACGGTATGGGCAGCATGGATAAGGAGCAGTCGTTCAAGCTGCTAGATGCCTATGTCGAGGCTGGTGGTAACTTCATAGATACTGCCAACAACTACCAGAACGAAGAGTCTGAAGCCTGGCTCGGGGAGTGGATGGCCTTGCGCAAGAATCGCGATCGCCTGGTATTGGCCACCAAGTTCACGGCTGACTACAAGTCCCACGAGTATGGGAAGGGTAACTCCGTCAACTCCGGCGGGAACCATA